GTAGTATATAAAAGTTTGGGTATACTGTGTGGCCAAACCAGCTTGCTCATAAGTTATTAATTGATTCCATTATAGGTAATTTGTTTAGTTTAGTGTTTACAATTCTTATGGAAAAAATAAGCGATGCACACATTTAAAAAGTGTTCATTGGCCAGGCACGATGGCTCACGCCTGTAATCCCAGAACTTTGGGAGGCTGAGGTGGGGAGATCACAAGGTCAGAAGATTGAGACCATCCTGGTTAACATGGTAAAACCCCATCTCTACTGAAAATACAAAAAAAAAGAAATTAGCCAGGTGTAGTGGCACACATCTGTAGTCCCAGCTACTCGGGAGGTGGAGGCAGGAGAATTGCTTGAACCCAGGAGGCGGAGGTTGCAGTGAGCTGAGATTGCGCCACTGCACTCCAGCCTGGTGACAGAGTGAAACTCTGTCTAAAAAAAAAAAAAAAGTGTTCATTTACCTTTGCATGAGTGCTTAAAATATATATTTCTATTTCAAGATGACATTTAAAATTTATTCTAATATAACAGCAGCAAAAATATAATTCACAATTACAAAAGAATTAGAATCCACAAGTTATTCTCATGTTTACAATTGTGATTCTTTAATAAATACCAGTACTATACAGCTCTATTGTAAGCTTTCTAGATTTGGTTTAAACACACACACATAGATACATCAGTTGTGGAAAGCTTTAGAATTTATATGTCATGTACTTTTTGGACAGAGTTCTAAAAGAGCCAGCCAGTCCACAAGACAGGCAGAAAAAAAGTTAAATTAACTGGGGCAAATAGAACTGTTATATAACATCCAAAACATGTGAGATCCTGCAGCAAACTGGGAGTACTTCAGGGTTGGCCCGTTATCTTCTTTAGAACTAAGTTCATCTTCACAGTTTAAGAAGATGGACATTTCGACACAATCTAGTGCATTTAGGTGACATGTTTCTTTTATGCTAACTTGATTTCCTTGAATGACCTAGTTAGTAAACTAGTCACTAGTAATTTGGTTACCAGGCAAATCAAGCCTGCAAGAAAGGAAGCCAATATTCAAAATACTGTGTTACCATCCAAACCCACTGAAATAGTTTATTTTCCAGAATAACACATAACTTCAATAATGAGACGTCTAACTAAAGCAAGCTCGTCCAACAAGACCAAGACAGCATCTCTTCTTCTAAGGCTTAGGTTTTGCCCAGAATTCCCGATACACGGAACAGCCCTTACCAACAGTCGTTGCTCCTACAACAAAGCCTTGGGCGACCACACACATGTGGATCAGATGAAGGGACATTTGAGTATTTCCCCTGCTCTTCAATGTGTATAATCCATATGTAACAAGTGCTGCAAAACCTGCTATTCCAACGGGTACGAATAGTGCCTCTTTAGCTTTTCGAATAAGTCTGGATCCCTGATCTTCATCATTTGAAGAAAGAGAAGCATCTGTGTCTGTTGACATAGCGACTGCTTGAGGAACCTCCCTAGAGCGAGAAAACCTCTCACGTGTCAACCAGCTTCTGATCCCTGCCTGAGGACTTTCATTATTTTAATTAAACTCTAAGATCTGAGAAAGCCCAGGCGGGATCTTGATAAACTTGTTTTGCGTTCTAGCTTTTGCACTAAGGCACTAGCTTCTCTGGTTCCTTAATATTTAACTTATACACTCATCAGAGTTATAGCAAGGTGTTGGTGAAGGCTGAGTGTGCTGGTTGCTAATG